TGTGTGTGTGTGTTATTTATTGAAGCCTCTAGAGATACTCTATGTGCCTCCTGCTTTACCTAATTTGAGATCACTAGAAGTTTCTAATCTTTTTAGAACAGCTTGTCTCTGCCAAGCTGTCATTCATGGGTAGTGCTAACACCGACCACATTTTTGATGCATTAGAACCTCTTGGGGATTAGGCAATAAGCTTTTTAAGTAAACACAGTTTGTTTTTTTAAAAATATTTGGAGACTGATCAGTATTATATATAGATTTACAGAGAAAATTGCATATAATTAAATAGTAATTTGCATTTAAATTCAGGCATTGATGGAAAAATACTCTCCTGGTAATGTGTACCCTGAATTTTGGAATCTATGAACAATAACATTTTAGAAAGCAGTTTGTAATTTCTATTCTGAGGATTTTCTGATTCCCTTGCTTAATACTTGATAAGGAACTAAGTTAGTGTAGGAGTGCCCTGGGGGATGCTAACATACTTAGAAAAATAAGTTTTTTTAGCATTACAATCTTATTGCTATCTGAGACTCTTATGGCCTGAAATTAAAGTATTCAGATACTCTATAGCATTCTTGGATGGGGATGGGAATGGGAATGGGAGAGGTGGTGTTGATTTGTGTTGAATGGGAACAGAAAGTAATTGTTTTGGGGTACATACTTGTGAGGAAAAGAAATGATTTTAGTCCTTCTCAGCAGTCAAGAGGGTTGTTTTGTATTTTCTGCAGTCTTGAGAATCGCTCAAGGCATTGGACCCACATTTTGAACACATAATTGGGCTTGGACTTCATTCCATTCACTAACTGGTCTAACTTACTGATTTAAGTTGATAACACATTTCTTTATAAAATGATTTTGTATAAGAACATCTTGTATTTTAATGTTAGAAAGTTATAGGTAGATTCACTTTTGTGGCTATCGGGAAAAACATTAGAGATATTTTTCTCCACTTGCAAATTACCATTTTTACATTTACTTTTATGATTCATATGATAAGACTTTTCCCCCCAATAAATATTAGTTACTGTTAATTATGTTTCAGTTAACTTGACCTTCTCCTAAATCTGGTAGCATGGTATACAGCATATTCTACTCCTGAGGTCTTGATATTGAATTGATTTATAAGGATACCTCAGAGGTAGATTACAGCTGCATGTTCATTCATTCAGAAATCATTTATTGAGGGCCCGTCTATCCTAGGCAATGTGCTAGTTACTTTTCAAGACCTTATTTCTGTATTGGAGAAAGACTTGTAAACAGATAAGTTATGGTAGGTGGTTGAGTAGAGTTATGTGAATTGAAATATTTTAGAGGAGTTACTTCAACTGTTCATCTTTCTGGAAGTGGTCCAGGTCAGAATACTGTTGTGTAATATTTATTTAATACTATCAACATACTGTATAACAGCTTTTATGACCTTAATGGATTCTAGTATATCATTTTACCTTTTAAATGGCTTTAGCCATTAACTAGCTTAGGTTTAAATTTCAGTTATTTTTCTTTGGTTTCTTTTTCTTTGAAGGGTTCATTAATGCTTAGCCTTCACTAATATTCTTTTGTATAGTGGTTTTCAAAGTTTTGAGTTTAACCTTATTGCAGTTTGTGTGTGTTTGTATGTGTGTGTGTACATGTGTGTACACATGCCTGAGCCCTTGTTATGGTGTTATATCACCATGATGATGTTTTTCTTGTGGGACTCTTGAAGCCTGTTCTAAAAGATAGGGTTTACTACAGAGAGATGAGTATTCATTTAGCTATTAGAAACTAAACAGTCATGGTAGATACATGTTTTGTCATTTAGTCTGAATTGAACACTGCCATGTGAATTTTTATCTTGAATAGTTAAGGAATTTGCATTACGTTTTTCAGAGCTTATAACTATCTGGTACAGTTTGCCTGTAGAGATGCTAATAGTCAGTGTCTGTCAACTGTATTTTCTATTCATTGTACATTTTGGCCAGAAATCAGATAAAGATAGCCTAATAATATACAACATATATTTTCTGTACTATCTTCTTTCCTACTATCTTCTTTCCTTTGTCAAGAGATCTAGCCCATGTTATTTTAACCTCCCTCTTGTTTACATCAGAAGTTTAAACCCAAGTATACCCCATAGTGTATACGGTGACACTATTAGGAAGAGAAAGCTCTTAAAACCTCTCAAGTGTGATTTAGTTTTTCATGTCTTGGTGAAGAAGGAAACCCAGCTGGGCTTTGCAAATGGTTTATAGAAAGGGCTTGAAAAAGATTTTTTA